GGCTCCACACCCGAAGACTCAGCACCCGCAGGCTCCGCACCCCTAGGCTCAGCACCCCCAGGCTCCGCACCCCCAGACTCAGCACACCCAGACGCAGTACCTCGAGCAGCACTTGAGTCACCAGCTACCCTAACAGGCACAGTACCAGGGAGAGGGTCTACCAGAGGCACACCTGACGGAGCAGGACCCTGGGGCGGGAGGGGGTCTACCGAAGGGGGACTAGGAGTAAGGAAGAGCGGCGGGGGCGGGGAAGGGGCAGAGAGGTAGGGGAAGAGACGGTAAAAGGGAACCGACTCGTCAAGCGTGACGTCCTGAGAGGGGAAGACACGGCGCGAGGCGGGGTGGTAAAACTGCCAGCCAGGCGCGTCAGTGCGAAAGCCAAGGAAGACGCAAGGGATAGCACGGGCGGAGAGCTTGTCCGCGGACGTATCGCGAACAAAGGCACGAGAGCCCCAGACACGGAACACTGGCGCATCGCCAACCTGCCCCGTCCTACGCACTGTGGGCGAGGTCTCCGGCAAGGAGACACAGGGCCAGAGGTTGAGCTGATGCGCAGCGTACCGGACCGCAAACGGCCACAGAAAATGGGGAGCAGCCGCATGGATCATGGAGGTACGAGCGACCTCCATGACAAAGCCAATGCGGCGCTCAGCAATCCCATTTTGCTGCGGTGAGGCCGGAAGCGTGAACGACTCGAGGATGCACTCCCCACGACAAAAGTTCCGCAAGAGGTTGGAGGAGAACTCACCACCTCTGTCAGAGTGCAGACGCAGGACACGAAGGTCCTCGCGGAACCGCTCGCGGAGCTGAGACGTACTGCACGGATCCAAGGGATCAAGACATCAACGACCTCACCCTTGCTGTGCAAGGGGAAGACGGTGGTGTACCGCGTGTAGTCGTGAATGACCAGCAGAAAGTATCGCTCACGGCCCTATCCACTGATGCGGGCTGGGCCCCACACGTCCATGTGGAGAGTCTGCAGGGGGGCAGTCGTCGGGGGAAATGAGGAGGAGTGAGGAGCGGCGCGCTGCTGCCCCTCGACGCAAGGAAGGCAGGGCGGGGCATGCGAGGGCGGGAGGGGAGGCATAGACCTGGGAAGACCAGAGACAAGGAGGCCTGGCAGGGAGGGGTGACCAAGGCGGTGGTGCCAGAGGAGAGTCTGGTGCGACAGGAGGTGACACGAGCAAGCGGGTGCTACCTGACCTGACGCGGACACCTGGGTAGACGCAGCTACCTGAGGAGGCTCGGTAGCCAGTGTGTACACACTCGACCCTGGCCGACGTGTGAACGGGGCCAGGTGGCGACTCATCTGTGTACACATGCAGATCGACACACGCTGATCCCCAGGAGTGGTGGTAGTGACCATCGAATCTCGGAGGGCCGCGGTACTCACCAAGTTTGTAGAGAACGAGGGGAGGTGAAGACCTGACAGTGAGCCGGACGGAACGCCGGACAAGGGAGAACAGTGGAGGAACGGGCAACGACCGGGCCCCTAGAGGGGTCAGCCAGTCTGACCGGGACAGGTGCAGGGAGAGGAGTGAGGGTGGTGCTGTCACGAAAGAAACAGCGTGAGGCACCTGAGACTAGGGTGAAAGTGAGCAAGGCCTCAACAAGCGCAGTACCAGGGAGAGCAGACTCACTAGCACCTAGAGCAGCAACCGCTATACCTGGGTCAGGCGGCACACACCGGTAACACTCTTCCTCAGCACTAACAGACAAAGCATACATAGCAGTAAGAATAGCATCAAAGTCTAGATCAAAGATAGCAACCCCAGACCTAGCCAGCTCTGCCCAGTGGGGGCGCTCGACCTCGTCACCAAACTCAGCACGCCAAGCATCGTCGAGGCGGGAGAAGCAGCGGTGCCGAGTGTGAAACCTCCCGCATGTCTGACCAGCACAGTCACTTGTGCGAATGACATACGGGCAGCTACCACTACCCCCATACGCCCCACGCTGAAACAACCACTCACAAAGCTGCTGGGGCGATTGGGCCTGGCTCCAACGCTTCTGCTGCTTCTGCTGCCTCTGGCCACCTCCAGAACCTCCACGCTGAGCTCCAGTCCTACCGCCACCAGTCCCACCGCTGCCACTACCGCCACTCCCACCGCTGCCTCCACCACCTCCACCAGAGCCCCCACTCCTCCACCACTCCCACCGCTGCCACCACCTCCATTGCCTCCACCACCTCCACTGCTGCCCCCACTACCACCCCCACTGCCACCGCCACCACCCCTACCACCCTTGCCCTTGCCGCTGTGGCGCTTCGCACTAGCAAAAGCAGGGAGGCGGGTGACTATGAAGTAGAGAGTGATGAACATCGGGGGCTGGTTCCTGTCAAGGAACTCAGCAGGGACGGTAGCGCGGTAGCGAGCGTCGCTAGTGCGGAGGTGGGAAACAAGGTCCTCTACCGTGGCAAAGGCGGACACCTCAGGGAATAGGTAGGGCAGAAGCAGGCGGCCTAGAGCAGCAGTGGCAGGCGAGGAGTAGCTAGCGACTACAGCGTCGTACAGCGCATGTGCTGTCCTGTGCTGTCCGAAGTGAGCGCATTTGGCTAAGTGCAGGTGGTTGCGAATGGCTAAGCGGGCAGCAGCCTCGCGAGTAAGCCACTGTGAGCGAGTCGCACTGTCAGCTGTGGCGGGAGGGGCAGTAGCGGTGCCTGACGCGGGGTCAAACAGCGAAGTACTGTCCTTAGAATCGCTCAGTAGGTACAGCTGCAAGTCGTTGAGCCACGTGTCAAACTGAATCGGTTTGCCATCATGATCGAACGCGAGAACTCGAAGCGAAGGCATAGCGGCGCAGCACGCAGAGTAGGGAGAAGCAGGGCAGTGAAGAGCACAGGGCAGGCAGCAGCAGCAGCAGCAGCAGCAGCACGCAGGAGGAGCAGAGAGGGGCGGCAAGCAGGGCAGCAGCAGCGGCAGCAGCACGCAAGAAGCGGCGTGCGGGGCCTGGGGTCGACGGGCCGGGGGCCTAGTGGCGACGGGTCGGGGCCTTGGGGCGACGGGCCGCGAGGCCAGGGGCTACGGGCCGAGGCTAAGGGGGGACGGGCCGTGGGGCCAGGAGCGACGGGCCGCGGGGCCGGGAGGGGCGGGCCGGGGGCCTAAGGGCGACGGGCCGGGGGCCTAGGGGCGACAGGCTGCAGGGCCAGGATTGACGGGCCTCGGGGCCGGGAGCGACGGGCCTGGAGCCTAGGGGTGACGGGCCGCGGGGCCTAGGGGCGACGGGCCGGGGGCCTAGGGGCGATGGGCTGCAGGGCCAGGAGCGACGGGCCGCGGGGCCTAGGAGTGACGGGCCGGGGCCTAGGGGCGACGGGCCGCAAGGACAGGAGCGACGGGTCGGAGGGCCGGGAGTGACGGGCCGGGGGCCTAGGAGCGACGGGCCACGGGGCCTAGGGGCGACGAGCCGGGGGCCTAGGGGCAACGGGCTGTGGGGCCAGGAGCGACGGGCCGCGGGGCCAGGAGCGACGGGCCGGGGGGCTAGGGGCGACGGGCCGCGGGGCCTAGAGGCGACGGGCCGCGGGGCCAGGAGCGACGGGCCGGGGCCTAGGTCAGGGGCGACGGGCGACGGTCGACGAGCCGGGCCTAGGTTAGGGGCGACGGGCCGCGGGCCAGGGGCGACGGGCTACGGGCCTGGCTTAGGGGGGGCGACGGGCGACGGGCTGCGGGGCCAGGGGCGACGGGTCGGGTCCTAGGAGCGACGGGCGACGGGCCGGGCCTAGGGGGCAACGGGCGACGGGCCGGGGGCGGCGGGCCTAGGGCGACAGGCCGAGGCAACGGGCTAGTGGCGACGGGCCTTTGGGCCTACGGGTCGCGACAGGCAGTAGGGGCAGCACGAGGGCTGCAGAGGGCAGCTAGCGGGGTAGCGCTGTGGTGGGCCCAAGGAAAAAAAAAAAAACGGTCCTAGCAGAGGACCTGCTCTGAAACCATGTCAGAATACTGAACGAGAAATGAATGAACTATGAAAGAGTTGGGTACAAGTACTAACCCTAATTGGGTTGTACCCCTTATGGGCTACCCCACTATAGCCAAAACAAATGTAAGCACTATAACATTCTGACACAGCTGACCGACTGCAGTGGGCCACGCCGACTTGGGCGAGCAGGTCGACGAAGTTGGTCGACTTGCGCGGCACCACTGCGAAGCCGCCGACGATGGGAAGTTCGCGGCCGAATCCGACCGTTGTGGTCGACGAAGGGGCTCGTCGACCTGCGGGGATGACGACTTGGTGAAGCTGGCGAGTGGCGTGAACCTAAGCGGTCAACAAGCACGTACATCAGTTAGCCGGCTCCTACTGCTCAAGGCGGCGCCAACTTGGCGGTTTCCCGGTCGACCAAGTTACCCAGGCGACGAGATTCTGCGGGGTGCGCGACCGTCACCCAGGAGGTTTTGGCGATGCCGACCTCAGGCTGGTATCCCGAGGTCGACGTGGCTCTTCATGCGCAACCATCGGCACGTGGCCTACTTCGTACCTGCGCAATGTGCATGACGGTGCACGTCGTGCCCAACCGTGTACAAGCACCTGCGAAGTAGGTACGCGCGTGTGCGCTGCTGTCACCTGCGGGTGCAACGCTGGCAAGCCGCCTTGCTGCAGCGTTGGCAAGCCACCTTAGTGCAGCGTTGGCAGGCCGCCAACTTGCTATGTTGGCAAGCTGCCACTCTGCAGCGCTGGCGTGCCGTCGACTTGCAATGCTGGCAGTCCGCCGACTTTGCTGCGCTGACAGTCGACCTGCCTGTCTGCTAGGTTGCTGGGCTCTGATGTAGTCATTGTGGCCTTGCCATTCCTATCATTGTGTCATCCTTTTGCTAGTGAAGCTCTTGCCGAATTGCCCCGTGAATTTGCAAGTAGTGAGAACACGAGCAAATGCTCTGATCACTCGTACCGGTGTAGAGTGACTATCTGCATGGTGCGGTGAGCGTGGACGGCCCCGCAGATTACCTTCAGATTAGCCGACTTAGGTGCGCATGACCTAATTCGTGAGTAGTATGGTAGCCATCCTAGTCGCCATGGTAGGCCACGAGGCCGAGGCAGGCGTGTCAACATATATGTTATATGTGTTGTTTGGTCTAGTCTAGGTGTTACAGTTGTGTTTGCTTGCATGGTTAGGGTTTCCTATATCTAGGGTTGTACTTGTCATTTCCATTCCTTCATTCCATAGTTCACATTCTAGCATGGTATAGAGCCTCGATCGATCCGATGGGCCCACCGCCCCGTACCTAGCCCGGTCCTGTAGCGCCCCATTGCCCGTAGCGCCGCGTCGCCCGTAGCGCCCCGTTGCCCGAAGCGCCCCGTCGCCCGTAGCGCCCTTTTAGGTCGCCTTCCCGTCGCATCCCCGTCCCCTCCCCGTCGCCTCCCCGTCACCTCCCCGTCCCCTCCCCGTCGCCTCTCCGTTGCGTCCCCTCCCTGTCACCTCCCCGTCGCCTCCCAGTCGTGTCCCCTCCCCGTCACCTCCCTGTCGCGTCCCCTCCCCGTCACCTCCCCGTCGCGTCCCCTCCCCGTCACCTCCCCGTCGCCTCCCCGTCGCATCCCCTCCCCATCACCTACCCTTTGCCTCCTCGTCTCGTCCCCTCCGCGTCACCTTCCCGTCCCCTCCCCGTCGTGTCCCCCCCCTGTCGCCTCCCTGTTGCGTCCCCTCCCCGTCAACTCCCCGTCACCTCCTCGTCGCGTCCCCTCCCCGTCGCCTCCTCGCCGTGCCCCCTCTCCGTCTCCTCCCCGTCGCCTTCCCGTCGCGTCCCCTTCCCATCACCTCCCTGCCGCCTCTCCGTTGCCTCCCCGTCGCGTCCCCTCCCCGTCGCTTTCCCGTCTCCTTCCTGTTCCCTGCCCTTCCTCTCCCCGTCGCCTCCCCGCCACCTCCCGTCGCCTTCCCGTCACGTCCCCTTCCCCTCCCCGTCGCCTCCCCACCACCTCCCGTCGCCTTCGCGTCACGTCCCCCCTTCCCGTCGACTCTCGTCGCCTTCCCGCCACCTCCCCGTCCCCTTCCCGTTGCCACATCATCGCCTCCCCTTCCCCTCCCCGTCGCCTCACAATCACCTCCTCGCCACCTCCCGTCGCCTCCCCATCGCCTACACTTCCACTCCCCATCCCCTCCCCATCGCGTCCCTGTCCCATACTCGCCGCCCCACCTGCTACCCACCGTCCCAACTGCTACCCGCGGCCCCCCCATCTAGAAGGCCTCGTGGCCCCCAAATAGAAGGCCCCGTGGCCCCCAGCTAGAAGGCCTCGTGGCTCCCACCTAGAAGGCCACGTGGCCCCCAGCTATAAGGCCCCGCGGCCCCCAGCTAAAAGGCCCCGCGGCCCCCAGCTAGAAGGGCCCACGGCCCCCAGCTAGAAGGCCCCGCGGCCCCCAGCTAAAAGGCCCCGCGGCACCCCGTACCCGCTACCTGTACCCGTACCCGTACCCGCTACCCGTACCCGCTGCCCGTACCCGTACCCCGTTTCTAGTTCCTGCCATGGCATCTGCTAGAGTTCTGCAGCAGCAGGGCCAGCTGCAGCGACAGCAGCTGCAGCACTCTGGGCAGTGGGGACCTGAGGGTCCAAGGAGTACCGGCCCCAGCAGCAGCTCAGCCACCAGTGGGCGCGACGTCAGTCCCTGCGGGTACCGGATCCTGACTAGCCCTGGTGCTGACACTACCAGCTCGAGTCCTGACCACTCTGCGCCCCGCTGCTACCGTCGCGTCGACGACCTTCACTGTGAGCGTTTGGGGTCTGACGCGATTCCGCCGCACTGGCCTTCTCGTTTTCGCCACAGTACTGTTGGACCTGCTGAGTCGCACTGCCTCGTCTAGGACCTTTGCCGACTGCACGAGTAGGGACTTGTATTTCCAGTATTGGTGTGTATGTAGTTTCTAGCCTAAGTGCCTCTACGGGCCCTTGTGTGAGAGTTGTAGCTACCGCTAGCCTAGTACCAGCCTTTGTCGCTGGCGCGGGTACGACCTCAGCGACTGTGCCACTTTCCTTCACCCTAGACACTGGGGTGTCAAGTTTTTTCTTCCGGGACTGCACCGACCTTACGCCATTGCGCACTCCAGTCACTGTCGCCTTAGCTGACCCCTCAGCGGGACCTGTCGCTGCCCACAGGACCACCTCTCTCCCGTGTCCGGCGGCTCCATCTGAGGTCCTCACAGGTTACTACACCCCCTCGTTCTCCAGAAACTTGGTGGGTGTCAGTCACCTCCACGACCTCGGAGTAGTCACCACTTTCCCTCTGGACGAGCCTATTGCCTCCTGCACAGTCGTTGTCACCAGGGCGCCTTTGGCCACTTTTCACACAGAACCAGGCTCTGGTCTGTACTCACTACATACGGGGTCTCACCACTCAGGTCAGGGCAGGTCAGGTCAGGTTGCTGCTTTGTCATGCGACTGCTGGTCACTCACCCACCCGTCGGTCCTCTGGCACCACCATCTAGGTCACCTGTACTTCCTGCGTCTTAGTAGGATGGTACGTCGCAGTCTGGTCTTAGGGCTCTCACTCGCCCCGCTTCCCCGCTCGCCTATGCCGCCGTGCACTCCTTGCGTCGAGGGTCGGCAGCACGTTACCCCTCACTCCTCCTCTTTCCCCCCCACCACGGCTCCCTTACAGACCCTGCACTTGGACGTCTGGGGCCCCTCCCTGGTCCTTGACCCATGTCAGGAGCGCTACTTCCTGATTGTGATGGACGACTACTCCCGCTATACCACGGTGTTTCCCTTGCGACGGAAGGCCGGCGTGCCTACTGTCCTCGAGCCGTGGCTACTAGCGAGGGGTGGCACCCAGGGTCTTCGAGGGCTTAGGCTACACTCGGACCGTGTTGGTGAGTTTGCTTCCACTCGCCTAGAGGTGTTCTCTCAGGGTCACGGGATCACCCAATCTTACACGCTACCAGAATCGCCGCAGCAGAACGGGATAGTCGAGCGATGCATCGGCCTGGTCATGGAGGTTGCCCAGACCTCTATGTGCCGTGCTGGTGCCCCCCAGTTCCTGTTGCCTTGGGCAGTCTGCTACGCCGTGCACCAGCTGAACGTGTGGCCCGGTGACGCAAGGCCACGGGTGACGCCGGTCTTCCTTTGGACAGGTTCTCGGGGTGTAGCAGCTGACTACCACGTCTGGGGTTCTCTGGCTCACGTTCGCGCCCCAAGCGCGAACAAGTTGTATGCGCGTACTCGTGCCTGCGTCTTTCTTGGCTTCCCTCTGGACGCCTCCTGGCACGGCGTTCTACAACCCGGTCACCCCCCAGTTCTTTAGTTCTCAGGATGTTACTTTCGACGAGTCGGTCTGTTACTACAGGTGTCACCCCCACCAAGGTTCTGAGGCCTTTTCCTCCCCGCTGTTCCTCATCCATGAGCCTCTGCCAGTCGCCCCGGTGGCCGTCCAGCCCCGTCAGCTTTGTCGCACGTCACTCCGGAGTCGTTTTCCCTGTAGCGTCCAGTCCCTGTCGTGTCTGGGGGTGCGGGAGGTGCAGCTGCGTAAGGTGAGGGTACTTAGGCTGAATGAGCTGGTAGTGCTGGCTCTGGGGGTGCAGGGGGTGTGGGCGTGGAGGCCACTCTTGTGCAGCCTCGAGCCAGCGGCCTCGCCCAGCCTCACCCCCTGGCTTTCCGTCCGTCCCGCAGTTCCCTCCTCGTTCCTCTCTGCGGCCGGTTGCTGCGGAGTCTGGGGGTGTTCCTACGGGAAGTACAAGAGGCACTGGGGGTGTCGTTGGTGGAGGTTCTGTTTTTGGGGGTGCTGGAGCAGGAGGCGCTGACAATTTGGCGCCTATACCGCGCTCTGTACGTTTCCTGACCCGTGAGCAACGTCATCTACGGTTGGAAAGGGAGGAACAAGAGCGGTTTGAGAGGGCACGGCAGCAGCAGCAGCAGCAGCAGCAGGAGCGGTTTCAGTTGCAGCGCCAAGAGAGAGTAGAGGAGGAGCCACAGCCAAAGCAGCAGGTGCAATTACAGCCACAACAGGAGAGTGTAGAGGAGTCAGAGCCGTAGAAGCAGGTGCAGTTGCAGCCCCACCAGGAGAGAGTAGAGGAGGGGTCACGACCGCAGCAGCAGATGTAGTTGCGGCCGCAGCAGGAGAGGGTAGAGGAGTCACGGCCGCAGCAGCAAGTGCAGTTGCAGCTGCTGCAAGAGAGGGCAGAGGAGGAGCCACACTTGGAGCAGCAGGAGCAGCAGCAGGGGCAGGTTCCGCCACAACAGACAACAGAGGAGGCGGAGCAGCAGCGACTGAGAGGCCTGCCCGTCCCAGCACCTGCACGCTCGGACCGTTGTTCTCTACCATCCCCTCTTGATCCCCCTATCCAATCCCTTTCCTCGTCCCCGTGGACTCAGCGTGCTCCACTCAGTCGTGCTGTGTCTCCAGAGCCTCATCAGTCTCGTTACCGTGCTCACTGCCCGTTTCACCTTGTTCTCCACTCCCGTGTTCCACATCCTCCGGTCCTTCCGCAGCCTCCTGAGTCGTCCCTTACTGTGTCTCCCGACCCGTTGTCTGACTACCTCCGTGCCTCCTGTCCAGTCGTCTCCTGTGTTTTGTCCTCGTTAGTCACTCACCCGATTGCCCCCCCCGCTGTCTGTCTCGACTCTTGTTACCACTGTCGCTGGCCCTTGTTACCACTGTCCTGGAGGACCGGCAGTTCGAGCTTGGTTTCCTTGCGGTCGCTGTTCCTCATCTATGCGCCATGCTGCTTGCCTCTGAGGGGGATCCAGACGCCCTTGACATCCCGATCCCACGCACTCACGCCGAGGCAGTCTCGAGATCCTGGGCTTTGTAGTGGATAGCAGCTCATGCGGCAAAGGTGGCAGCTGCGTTGACCGATCTACAGCCTGCGCCAGGCTCCGCGCGAGTGGCATGACACGCTTCGTACGTCTCTTGCAGCGCTTGACTTCTTTGTGTTGTCTGCCGACCGTTAGTTCGTCCGCCGTGGCTTGACCCCGTTATTTGTTCTGGTTTACGTTGACGACCTGGTTTTTGCCACTCCCAAACAACGCGCACTGGCCTTTGTGAAGGAGGATCCGAAGAGGAGACAAACTTGCACTGACCTTGGTGAGCTGCGGCGCTACCTTGACATGCAGATCACCAGGGACAGGGCAGCTCGCACCATTACGGTGACGCAGTCGCGTATGGTCGAGCAGATCCTCCTGCGATTTCGCTTCTCGTTCTCCAAGGTACAGCTCACCTTCTGGCTGTGGATCATGGGCTCACGGCTCCATCTTTGGACGACTCATTTGAGTCCAGTGTTCCATATCCTGAGTTGGTGGGTTGTCTCATGTACCTGTTGACTTGTACTCGCCCGGACTTGGCCTTCCCTCTCAGCGTCCTTGCGCGTTTTGTTGCACCGGGTTTATCAAGCATGAGACTTGTGCTTGGAGGGAAGCAACCAGTTACACTCACAGGTTACTCGGACTTGTCGTGGGACGACAACGCTGAGACGCTGCAGTTTACACAGGGGTACTGCTTTAGCCTTGGGACCAGAGCTGTTTCGCGGAGGTTGACTCGGGCGTCGTCTCTCCTGTTCCAACTGTGAGGCAGAGGTGTACGCTGCGGCCATGGACGCCCATGAGCTTCGCTGGCTTTGTTTCCCCCTCACCGACCTTGGTGAGCGGCCTCACTCTCCCCCAGTCTTGTTCGATGACAACAGGTCTGCTGTTGTGCGAGGAGCCTCAAATGGTTGAGAAGGCGAAGCACATCGAGCTTCGTTACTTCCTTCTGTGCGAGTTGCAGCAGCGTGGCCAGGCCCGTGTTGTCCGTGTGGTCTCTGAGGTCAACACTGCATATATCTTCACCAAGGTGTTGCCGCCTTGTGACCATCAGCATTTCTGCACCCAACTAGGCCTTTTGTCTACAGGCCCTCACTTGCATGCATAGAGATGCTTCATCTTGTACTCTTGCATCTCACTATATTTGCTATATATCTGCTTGTGGACTGGCCTTGTGGCCACTTTATTTCTCTCCGACTGTGTGGTGATCTTGAGATCCACCTGAGATTTGTCTTGTTTTTTAGGACAGAGCTTATGACCATTGCTTGTTCTTGCTGACTGGTCCTGTGACCCTTGCCCTCAGACTGTGTGGTGAATTTGATCCACCGTGAGATGTGTGTTGCTTCCATGGGACTGCCGTCACCTAGACTATGGGGGTGTGTCAAAATATATTTCATATGGGTTGTTTAGTCCAGTCTATGTGTTACAGTTGTGTTTGCTTGCATGGTTAGGGTTTCCTATATCTAGGGTTGTACT